ACACACACACACACACACACACACACACACACACACACACACACACACACACACACACACACACACAAACGATTTAACCCAATAAACCAACATTCCTGTCTGCACAAACATTAATAATACCAGGGCTATCTATAGCAGCCTTAAAATATGAAAGTTTTGAAAATAACATCATATGGAGCCAAGTATCAAGCTTTAGAGGTTTATCAGTTTAAGATTTGAGCAGTGAATAATCACGACATTAAGATTGAAAATTACAACTTATGAACTTTGTTGTTTCTATTTGAACATTAAAACCCACATGATAGATAATAGCACAGGCAAACTAGGCAAACAAAATAAAATTAAAACCTTTCATTTATATTTTTATTTGATCATTAAATGGTTTATCTGTTCAGGTAGCTGGTTCAGAAAGTTCTGCCAGCTTTGTGGCTTCATATTCTTATTGAAACTTGTTCTGACAAATACAATTTATTCACTCAATGAGCACCGCTCACAAACTTCTTCCCAACAGTTGTCAGTCATTAAAGTACATGCCCTAAAACTAACAATGCACATTCTGATTAGTCAGACCATGTGGATCCATGTACTGTACATTCAGGGAGTTCAGTTTTTTAAACAAATAAAAAATAAAAATAAAAATACAAACTAAAAACGCATTTTTTATGTTTATTAAACAATACAAAAAAAGAAAAAAAGAAAACAGATTACAAACCTTTATGTAATTTCCAGGATGTGTGGTAAAAAAATTGAACAATTGCAGCCAAAATGAAATGGAGAAGTAAAGTCTAAGGTATTATAGTAAAAATATGCAATAAACCTCAAAGGAAAACAAAATTGAAAGAGTCATATGAACAGTGGCATTGACTGAACAAAAGGCAGAGACAGAAATGGAAATGGCATTGATGAAGATGTTAAGAAAGAAACTGAAGTGGCAAGGCTGAAGATGTTGAGATTGTACTTGTGAAAAAGAAAGATGGACAGGATTAGGAATTTGATCATCAGAAGAAAATTACAGATGAAAAATTGGGAGGTAATGTTAGAATGGCCAAATGAAGATGTTTTGGACATGTTACAACTCTGTGAGGCTCGCATGGACAGTGTGTTCATGGGCCATGGTGGACATACGTACACAGGCTTGGACCCCGGTCAAAACTGATTCACAGTTCTAGTTATAATTTGCTTCTATTGCAATAGTTTTTCTTCTTTCTGTTTTGCCATTTGCAGCAAAGCTCTGTTTTTTTGTGCATTGACGTATACAATATATTTCACT